GAGGAGGAGGAGGAGGAGGAGGAGGAGGAGGAGGGAGAAGAGGAGGGAGAAGAGGAGGGAGAAGAGGAGGGAGAAGAGGAGGACCAACGCGGAAGTCTCAGGTGGATACATTCGTCAAGTACAATTGGACAACCCATTACAATGTCTCTTGAAATTTGATTCTAACGCAAATCATCTATTTCCTAACCGAGATATTGATGGCTGTTGTCCCCTACTCCCGTTTTCCTTTTCCTGGCATTCTTCTTCTCTACAGCATACCGGAATGCTTTATACCGTCGTGCCAGGAGCAGAAATTGGTCCAATTCACCGCACAGAGCACTTGGAGCAGGGGGACCTCAGGTCAGGAATGAGCAGGACTTCAGGAGAGAAAGGTGGCCAACGGGGAGGGGGCGTAAAAATAACTTGAGATACGCAGAGGGGTTCGGGAGATAGGGGATAACGCTGGACAACATCAACGGAGCAGCACTCCCGGCCCATTAGCGCCCTGGTCTGGTCAGAACGCCTTTTAGAGCCAAACCAATTTATCAAATTAATAATGTCGCGACAGACAAGTGCAAGGAGGAGGCGCTTCATTGCATATAAAACAAACCTGAAAAATACACACAAAAAATTGGCGGGCATGATAATTGATGTTGAAGCAGGTTTTGTTGTCTTCGGTAGACCAAAGAGTCATCTTGTTTGTGGCGATCATGATGGTGGTGGTGATGATGATGCACATAGACGCTGTGGGGTGGCGAGGGGGCGGAGGTGTACTCCCCGAGACGCCTCGGAGCGAGCCCATGGCTAAAACGTTCTCGGAAGCAAAGGCATGTTTGTGTCACTGCCACCAAAAGACTTCCTCAGAAGCCCTTTTTTTCTACTCCTCATAACGGCAACGCCCCTCTCTTCCCTCCCACGACAGAGATCGCCGCGTCCTCCTAGAAAAATGTTCCTCAAATAAGCCGTCCCTCGTACCCCCAACCAACAAAGTCGGTAAAGGAGAACACGTATGCTGGACCGGTGCTGGACCACGTATGACGCCGCAATCGAGCCCCCCGACCCCCTTTTCCCCTGCAGGGGAGAGACGGACAAGCTCTCCTCTCTCACGGTAAAGTAAAGAGGAAACAAACCCCTCTAATCAACGAGACAAGCAGGATGGACAATGAAGAG